GTTTTTTATTTTATGCTGTTATATAATTTATATTAACAGTTTTCGTCAACTTTACTGTGTAATAAAGCTTTTTAATGAAAAACTTAAAAAAGAATTTAGGAAATATAAAGTGTAAAACAGTTTTCACACATTGTACATTTCAAGTTGCACGTCTGTTATTTATATTTTTTTTAATTTACAAGGTTTCGTTAAAAGTGATCAAACTTTTATCGCATTTAAAACGTTCCTCGCGCACTTAACGCTTTCTACAAAAAATTAGACGCGGCCGAAATTTCTCGTTTTAACGGTGATCTTATAAATTTGCCTTTCCTTCTCATTCCTCGTACACGACACTCCCACGAACGAATCTTCCCACCCAGCGTCGTTTCACCCTTCTCTCTTTTTTCTCGTTTCTCGACACGAGGGGTGGTCTCGGAGTGAAACTAATTTTACAGGAAGTCAGCCGATCCTTCTGGTTCTTTATTAGATTTTCTGTGTCGTCGTGGCGCTGTGTACAGAGTAAAAACGGAATTGCCAGAACGAAAAATGTTCAGACACGATTGCAAATGTTTGAATGTTCTCCGTTTAAACGTGGATATTATTATTCTCGCATCATGTATAAACCACAAATGTGCAGAGAAAGAGAGAGAAAACGATATAAGATGAAGTATAACAAACTACGAAGTATTATATATATTACATATAATATTCTATATCTATATAACACACACACACACACACACACACACACATATATATCGTAATCACGTAACCAAAGTCAGTGATTTCCTCTCCCAAGGTCGCGCGACCGAGGCCAGTGACCCCGCCAAGATCGCGCGACTGAGTTCAGTGACCCCCTCCCAAGATCGCGCGACCGCGGTCAGTGAACCCTCTCAAGGTCGCGCGACCGGGGTCAGTGACCTTACGGTAGTATGTATATAATACATATAATATATAATATAAAGTATAATATTATAAATATATAATAGATTATATGTATAATATATATTATTTAATGTTATATATAATATTTACACACCACCAGTACGACGGAGTTTTCTTGTGCGCACAAGATACAGAATAAAAGAGACTTTGTGCGAGCATAAAGGTAGAAAATCTTGTTATTCCGGCAATTTTGAAACGAACAGGAACCGCCTCGAAGAATGACAGAGCTAGATGTAATTGCACGGCATTAACGATCAAGGCAAAACGAGAGATCGCTCAGATGAATATTTGCGAAGAAAGGGAGAAGTGGATACACACAAAGAAGCAAACAATTGAGGAAGACAATAGACGGAATAAAGAGAGCTTTGTGTGGACGGAGGGGTTTATGTAAGAGTCGAGGGTGGAAGATTCTACAGCGCGTATTCGTTCTGTGTGTAATATACGTGCAAAAGGAGAGACGAATAGCAGAGAAACTCGATGGAAGGTCAAAGGGCTAGAGCGAAAACAGGTGGATGAAAATGTTAGAATGGAAGAAAGATAGTGAGAGAAAGAGAGAGACAGAGGGAGTAATGCGGAGGTTGCCGGGTAACACACAGCGAGGGTGGGATAAGAGCGCAGCGGGGTGCCTAGCAACAGGTTGTGCTACCCTAAAATTTCGGCCAGTGACGCGGCGCGAAAAGCCTCGGTGAGAACTATGCTTTCACCGAATTATATATTTTTTATTTGCTTGTGTGCAGAGCGTAGGCACGTCACATTTTGCATTCGACGTCTCGTTAACTTAAAAAATCCTCGTGAAATCGGGGATAGAAAAGAAACGCGTGTTGATATGTAAACAAATTATATGTTTACACTGAAAAAAAAAAAACAATTTTGTTGAGATAACGAAAATTTGGTCAACCAAATAAAGTGTTTCCCAAACGTGTTTGATTTGATTTGATTTACCAAATTTTGGTTATCTGAACAAAACTGTTTTTTCAGTGTAATATTCATGTTTGATACTATACGTATAATTGATAATAATTTGATCATAAAAATGTTAATAATTATTTCCACATTTAATATCATTTTTTTTTGTAAAAAAAAGTCTCGTATTATTGATAACTTTATCTTATTATTGCAAACAGATAGAACAAATATGTAATCATAATATCCCAGAAAACTGTATGGAAAATATATATTATCGCTTTGTAATTGTATATATAGATATATCTATACACAGTAGATTAGTTTTAATATTGCAATGTACACGCACGTAGATTGTATGTTATTGAAATGTTTGTATTATTGTTGTTTACGTTGTTTTCAATGCGTAATTATATTATATATGAGGTGACAGTACATTCGTTCAGGTGTTTTATATCGATTTTTACTGCGCACACTGTTGCTTCGTTTTCCGAGAATAATTGATGTAACAAATGATCGCGGTTTGACGGAACGATACACGTTGTGAAATGAGGCTCGATGGACTGCCGCGATTTTCTAGAAATAAAAAAAAAAATTTATAAATTGATCATCTCGGGATTTGGAAAATATGAACGAACGATATCGCAATCGGTGATATTCGCTCGCGTGAAACCTCGCGTCCCCGCGATGTGTTGCGCTATAAACGCGAGCATATCTGTCGATTGTGCAGTCAGTACCGGACTGTAATTCTGTTTTGTTCATTCGATACAAAGACAGACCGGGGGCAATAATTCGTTCGCGCAAATAATCGCGCACGAATTGACGTGTTAACACGCGCGCGCGCGCGCCGGTGAATATCCGTCACGATTCAATTCGCGAGAAATCGACGACGATGGAATATTACATTCCGATCATTTCACAAAAATACATTTATTTGTCATAGAATGTAACAAATCCGTTATAAAATATGAAATGTATTTGTGAAGTTAGATGTTTAAACTCGAAATTTTTAGACTCTACATCTTTTCCAGAATATTGTAAAAAAATTTGTAGTTTGTATCTCCGCACTGAAAATTCTTGTCAAATTTTATTTTTTTCAGATTTTATCTTAAATTTAAAAGTCAAACATACAGCATTGGAATTTTACCTTTCGTTGGGTTCGAATTTTACTGTGATTTTATTTCGATGCGTTGAGATAGATAGTATCTCCTAAATTCAATATATCTATCTCGTTTGGCGAATAACGTTTTCAAGTTACGCGAAATTTTCCAGTTTGAACCTCAAGCGCTTTGAGCTACGTTGCAGTTTAGGGAGCGCGCAACATGCAGCAAATATATAATCTATATATAACCAATATATATGTATATATATATATATATATATCCTCCATTCGAAGAGAGTATTTATTTAATGCACACTGATCTCTGTACAGCTCTGTGCGGCTTAGTGTAATGCGTTTGGCGCGAAACTTGACGAAACTCCTAACAAAACTCGCAATGCAGTCCCGAATTTGATATCGAGTAGGAAACAACGACGGAATCGTGGATAATCTCTATATTTGTGTTCGAAAGCACATTGCCTCGGAATATTTACAACGCACGCGCATGCACATCGTCATTAGCCGCGCATTTACATCGTTTAAAAATTGAGTTTATCAATCGTTGTTTTCACTTTAAGAAAAATGACGTGACGGCGTATCAACAGATACGCGTAAAACAATTTCGCATGGCTCTGTTATTTTTCACAAGTTTGAATACAATCTATTATTTATTGTCACATCGTTCAATTTTTCATCGCACTTTAAAAGAGTTATCGAATCGATGTCAACTGAAAATTCAGCAGGCGTGTTATTTACGCCGAAGTTTTATGAAGCTCGATTATAATGCGCTCATGTTTTCTCTTTTCACGCGAAAAACCATTATGTTAAAATATTACTCAGAAGAGAAAACAGGTTTTCCTCTTTTGCGGAATTTTTATTACCCCCATGATTGCAGACTGTCATATAAAGATTTTAATTGCCGTAGAAACTTACGTTTCTTTTTCTCACTTTTTCTTCCTCTCTCTCTCTCTCTCTCTCTCTCTCTCTCAAAATCATACTTTAATGACTTCTTTTGTACACATGTTCTATTCATATTGTGGATTCGCAAACTTGACGCGTTTCCGGTCTCCTTCGTCCGAGGGCAATAAACTCATAGCGGAACGTCGCATTTGAATGATGATTAATCGGATTTCGCAGTATCTAGATAGCGGTGGAGCTTTATTTTCTGTCGTTCCAACCCCGCGACGGACGCTTTCAGGAAATGAAGGGAAGCACGAATGAAAAAAGTGAGTCGCGCTCGTGACGTTTGAAAAGCCACGAAAGGGATCAAGAAGGATCCAATATACGGCGCGCCGAGTAATTAATAGAATATTTCATGCGCATGTATCTGCCGTCTTATCTTTAACGTTGTTCTTGTATAAAGGTGTGTGTTCGTCACGTAAATGGCATTAAAGACTTTCTGTTATTACGTAGGATAAATCGCGTTATCGACAATTATTACGACACCTTTTTTTCTTCTTTACGTGAGACACATAACCGACATTTTCTTATCAATCCTCGATAAGAATCAGACAGGCATTGCTAACAGGCATTAAGAGAAAGAAAAAAAAGGACTATTAATGGCTCGTGCGCGAGTCAGAATAGACGAGCACGAGTGCTCGATCGCGTGACTGCCGGCCGTCACTGATGCGCCGAGATTAGGCCAGTCAACGTAACCTAATTAACGAAAGAACATTCAGCTGGATTTCTACGATGCTTCATTACGTTCATCATGTGCATTTTTTTTTTTTTTGATGCGGTCGGAGATTTTGAATTTGAAATATAAAGAACATCCTCGGACTTAAAATAATCAACATAAAAAAAACATTTAAATAATTAACATTCGGCATGTTAATTATTTAATTTTTTGATTTTTAGTTTATTGTTTATGTCAAGATGTGCGCGACGTGTGTAACGTAACATGTCACGTTACATCGATTCTGGTTTTATGTAATTTTTTTAAATGTAATTTATACGCGCTGAGATATGTATTCGGTTTTAGTTTTTCATTTTTTATTTATTTTTTTTAAATGTAATTATACATTGATGTATTCAACGTTTTTATTCATATAGAATCGATTTTTGTGTTTTTCAGGATGCTGGGTGGTGTGGGTGGTCGACACGTGTCTACACGTCGACGTGGCAGCATTCCGCTTATGCGAGTGGGTCTTTCTGGTTATGGCGCGACCACATCCGGCGGGGGAAATGCGATCGACGGCGAGACGACGCAAGAACCGGTGCCCAAGTATGCCGCCAGAAGAAGGAGGGCCGTCACCACCAGCGATCACAAGAGTTGTGCCCTCATACAGACACGACTCAAGCTTGGCGATATTATGTGAGTTTTAATATTGTCACTTTTATTTAATCTCTTTTAGCGACAAATATTTATAATTTTATGAAAACATTTAAAACGGTGTCACAACTAAAAGGGTAGTTCGCGATATCAGCGCAATCTGTGTTACCGACATCGTTTCAACCCCTTTTATCGCTGTACCGACTCGATGTCGGTACAGCACAGTTATGGATAACATTGATAAGGGGTATCAAACGGTACATGTTGTACCGTGATAAAGCAGGATTCGCTGCAGAAGGTTTCGATCAGTGACAGTTGTCGGTAATATTTTTCATCCCCGTATTTTCACCCTCAAGCAAGCGTCGGTAAGAGGGCTCGTAATTCCAAGCTACCCTGATAGATAACCCTGATAGAACATCCGTATATATTTGATAACTATATATCACCCGTCGAATCAGTATCGATACACCATAATAAAGAGCAGCTGAATAAAAAATTTATAATTTCTTGCGAGAATCGAAGTCTTTTAGTGTATCTTTTGATTTTTAAAACACTTACATTAACATTATCTTTGTAGAAAGACGTACAATTCGTTAAATAATTTTTTCCTTATCTATAAACAATCAAAATAACAAAACAATAATAGAAATATAAGAAAACAATATAATTATGTAAAATATTTAACTTAGTAATGCACAATATATAATATATATATTTATATAACAAAATAAAAGTTATGTAACATTCAACAATAATTATTGTGTCGTTTTGTTTCTTTATAATTTTGCGAATTGATCTCGTGAATGTATCCGCCAATGATAAACCGAGCCTTCGGTCACGTCAAAAGATGGTGCCAGATGAAAGCTGCGTCTGGCCATATCAGGTCATGCACTACTGCGGCCGAATTAAAGTCTAATGTAGCGAGGTGTCTGTACTCCCCTCGCGGCCGTCCGCTCGTTCCGTTCGGCTTTACACGCTATCGATTACTCTTCGATTGTTTGGCCGTTACTTTCTATTTCCAGCAACGCGGGGCTGTCGCCGGCCGTTCACCAGCGAATCTAATTACGATCTCTCTCTCTCTCTCTTCGTCGGCCATCGTTTTCGCAACGTTCCTTCCTATATTTTCGTCGTATTTCTTATATCTCTTCAAAAACGTAGATTTGAGGAGCGCTTTCTATTTTCGAAATGAGCACGTCGGTCATCTTACCCTATCTCATGAATATCAAATCGGCAAACTGCCAATATGCACTTTTTACCTCGGGCGATAAGATTTACGATTCATCCTTGCGCGCGACGCGCACGAGATACTCTTTTATTCGAATAATTACTTTTTTTTTTTTTTTTTTATCACAGTCTCTCGCGTCTTGTGCGAACGTCCGTAACCTTTTTCTGACATTCTTGCTTGTTACGCTCTCTTGTTACGTTATACGCTCCGCAAGTATCTCATGATTCTTATTATCTGCGCTGACATTATTCTATTAGAGAAAAAAATATTATTTACATGATCGTGTAATTCGTCCGCGGTATCATCGCGTTAACTATACTTGTCTATATCCCCCCACTCGCGATACCGGATAAATTAATATCTATTTCTCTCTTTTGCCATCTCTCTTCGATGTTTATTTTTTTTATTTTTTATTTTTTTTATGTACTCGTACGATTACGATTCGAGTAATCGGCAATATTATGTAAAAATAACTGTCCTATTTTTTCTCTATAATGGAGTATTTCACATTCAACAATATTGTGCAACAAATCCGGACAGTCTAGATACTCTCGATGCTTGTTATATTTCGAGTTCGTTTTTATTTGTATATTTCTATGTACAATCATTTTTCGATAAAGGGTCTCATATCGATGATTCTAATCGTGACACGATTGGCAATCGGATGAGCGTTCTCGAAGCTCACCTTCTCTCGCTCTCTAAATCTTTCTGTCTCTCTCGGTTTCTCGCAAAAATAGAATCAATAAAAGGAATCGACGTTACGTGGAAGTAGGTCTGCGCGCTATCCCGCGAGTCAACTCGACAAGGTTCTCGACCTTTGCTATTAAGGGACGTACCTATTCGAGCGCCGCGCCGCGCCGCGCCGATCTGAGAACACCTTCCTTTATTTATCACGCTCGATTCCGCGTTGTCTTCTCTGTCGCTGGTGGATCGATGTTCCCTCTCTTATCCCCTTCCCCCCCTGACTGACAGATTTTATTAACGAGCGTCAATCGATGCCGCCTCGAGTGCTCGCGACATAGTGTGAAATTCGCCAAATCTGGGCTAAATCAGAATATCGTATTAGATCGCATGCACATATACACACACAACTGTGTACTGCGAATATGTTTAATATTGCGTACATTTTATCACATTTACTCTGTCTTGGGATTATTTTGAACGGTGTATTTTTAGAATATATAATTATATTTTTAGAACATATAGCACACATATAATTCATATTTAACTTTTATCTTGTATTATTATTTAAATAATGACATTTATTTTTATCGTATTGCGGAAAAGTATCTCGTCAATTTTGTTTTACGTTCAAAACAATTTTTTTCTGTAAATGAAAACCTTCAGTGAGATATGTTTTTGTTTCTATTTTATTGTTATTACGTAGATATTCCGTACTGTCGCATCAAGCGCACATCACACCGAGGAAAACCAACTTCTAGCAAGAGTCGCACATGGCGGTCCCAAATCCCATGCATTGCTAGAGCATCCCCGGCCATGTTAGGCGCATGCAAAAGCCCCCGAACGATACCATCTAACCCTGATCGGTACTAACCCTGAAACCGGACCCACTCCCGTGCGCTTTCAGACACACGCCACTCTTTTCACGATTTTTACATTGCTACAGTTTGTCTAATTATGCGCCTTGCAACGCTGTACAAAGTGACTGTGTAACGAACAATCTTCAATTTAAAGAAAGATGCTTCAAAGATGATTTTTTATTTTTTTTTTTGCATGACAAACTCGACTTGCATACAGCGTGTCGTGAAAAAAGTATCGAATTAGAATAAAGATATTTTTTTGTGGAACCTGCGTCGAGAGTCGGTGTGAGTTTTCAATATCGATTTTCGTCGCGTTGTCGAATCGGTACTGGATATACCATTTTTGGAGGATATTCGAAACAGTTTCAGAACGATGAACAAAATTCGTGACATCCGATCGACACGACAACGGTCTTCGTCCGTTTCCTTCTGTCTTCTTTTCTTTTTTTTTCGGTTTCGTTACTGACTCGATCTTTCCTTGTCTCGAATCGAAACGATGAATCGAGTCGCAGAGTCGAGTCACCTCGGCGCGGTCGTGTGTTTCAGGCTGGCTGGCTGCCGCTGCCGCCACCGCCGCCGCCGCCGCCGCCGCCGCCACCACCACCGTGAATCAATACCCGCATTGCGCGTGCCACCTCTCTTTCTCTCTCCCTCGTCTGGCCTGTACTACCCTCTACTTCTCTCTCTGCTTCTTGCTCGCTCTCCGTGAACACTTCTCAGTTGCTCTTCGTCAACGCGCGTTCTTTCTCTTTTGCTCATATCTTCTGTCTCTCTCTCTCTCTCTCTTTCTCTCTCTCTCTCTCTCCCTCCCTTATTCTTCATGCGCGCACTCTTATTTTCTCTCTCGTTCTTCTAGCTTCTGTTTCTTCCACAATTTTGCCCTATCTTATCCTCCTACAATTTTTCTCTCTTTCTCTTTCCTTGTCATGATACACTGCAGCCAGTATCACACTACACAGTCTGTATCTTTTCTATTTCTTTATATTGTTATTCCTTACATATCGTGTTCTTTTTTGCGTCCTAAAGCAAGCAAACTAAAGATCAGAGAGACGCGAATTAATGACAGCCGAGCAGGGAAAGTGACGAACACGTGAGACAAATGGAGAACTTCCGTTTTTAAGGGTTGGACAACCCCTGCGTGAGAGAACGGCGTGTCTTGCGGAAAAAACATTCGGAAACCCACCCACTCACCCGCCCACGCCGACCTGACGTCTTTGCTAGGCACGCTTTTTCTTCGGGAATGCGGAAGTGCGGAAGTGCCTTCCGCCGAGTCGTTTATGCGGACTCACCGATTCGCAGCGTGAGACCGTCAGCTGCGATTCTCAGGATAACCCGGTCAATGCTCTTAACGTTTCTTCCTCACAGTTTTGCAAATGAATGTATTTTTGCGCGAAAAATACATTCATTTGCAAAACTGAGCAGAGTTTGGCAATAATAAAACTTCTTAACGACTTCGACAACATTGTCTGACTGTTGTGTGTTTTTACTACTGAAAATTTTGATCATGTATGTTTGTTACATTCGCAAACATTTGACGTAAAATTGTTTTCTTATTTGCTGTTTGTATTTATTCTTCTGTTTGTTTAAGAAGTGTTTGCTTCGAATTTTTAAGCCATCGAAAATTTGCAGCGGTGTTGCGACGATTTTAAAAGAATTTTAGTCCAGCGATTAATATTGACGCGACGTTTCAGAGATATCGCTTTTTCTAACTTTAGACGGACGATAATTCTCCTCTCGTTTTACGGTGCAGATAAAATTGTCAAATAGAGGGAACAAATAGTATAGGGTGTTTGCCACTATCAAAGTCAACGTTGTCGTCGCCGACGTCGAGGAGACATTGGCTTTCTACCCCGAGAGATGCTAAACTTACAGAGAACAGAGGCAGACTTGCGGGAAAACCATGTACATGGAAATCAACCCACGCAGTTCCGTTTTATCACTTGACGTCACTCGGTTTTGAGTTATTCTCAGCGCGGGGCAAAGCCGGCGCATATACGGAAAAAAAAAATGTGTTGTAATTTATTACTTATACATAGTGAAGTCTGAAAACGTTTTTTGAAACAGAGAGTTAAAGCGGTGATTAAAATCGGAGAATTAAGAATTAAGAGCGTGTGCCTTGAATACTTGTGTTTTTAGTTTTAAAAGTAAATATGTAATTTTACGTAAATTAAAAAAGTTTCGAGAAACTTTTAATGGAAAACTTTTCATGTAATATCGCAAAATCTTTATGATCTAGGTTTTGGCACACAAGAAACATAATATTCAAGTGTTTTGCG